TGCAGCGGAAGCGGAGGAATTGGTGTTTCAAACCATTATTAATTTAACTCCTAAAGCAAATGATGGATGATTGATGGTTTAATACGTGTAAAACGAAACAAATGAGGTGCATCTCGAATTTCTTTTCTCGAAAGAATCACGTCTCAAAATTAACACGTCTCCATCTTTCATGGAGTCTCTTCCAACTTTAACGGAAGACGCACAAAAAAAAAAAAAATCTTTTCTCCACGCGGAACAGAAGATTTCTTTTAAAATTAAAAAACTACTTAAATTCTTACGTTGGAATAAAAGTGAAATAAAAATAATATGGTAATCGATATATAAAAAGAAAAATCAATTTCTTTTATAACAAGAAAAATTTTTCAATATAGTATATATATATATATATATATTCCCTCGATCAAATAAAATAATTCGAAATTCCAATTCGTCCGACGATTACAAGACAAGAGTGAAGAGTGAAGAGTGAAGAAAAACCACAGAGATAAGGCGAGGCACAGTGATGAATTAAACCAAGAAAGAAAAGAAAAAAATACAATAAATAAATATAGAGAGAATGTACAAGAAGAAAACGTGTATGTTTACCAGGGCGACGACTTACGATATCATCAATAGAACATACCATGGTGGCGCGATTCTCTTTTTTTACTTTTATACTTTTTTTTTACTTTTTTTTATCTTTTACTTTCTCTTTTTCTCTCTTCCTCTCTCTCTCTCTCTCTCTCTTTTTTATTATTAACAAGCTAATTTATTTAAAGAGATGAGAAGACTTAAGAAACACTTTCGGCTGGACAACAATTGTCGAAATACGACGAAAAAAAATCGTCGTGGAAAAAGTCGCGAACTTGGATTGTTGTACTCGCGACGAAAAGAGAAATTGTTCTCTACGTGATCTAGAAACTGGTAGATGGTATGGTTGCTGTCTGTCGAACACTGTCACGAGGAACGGCCATCGTCGCGGTAATATTCGAAAACGAGGATATAGCGGTTGCGTAGCGATGCCGGACCGCACCCCGCAACCTCCAGCCAATCGTGAGCTCCTTCTATACGTTTGTTCACGGGCCTTAAAGCTTTTGGAAAGGCGCTTGCGCTATTTCTGGGATGCAGACGGTGCCGCGAGGCTCGAAATCAGGGCCGTCTTTTCGTCTCTCGACGTTCCAGCCATCTCGCTCTCCCTCTTTCTTCCCGTATCTTTAAAATTAATTTTTATCGCAATCGTACGATTGTGATACTCGTATGCATCATGAATCATCGCATCTTTTTTCTATTCCAGTGATCTTGGACAGAATAATTTTGGAGGTTAAGTAGATCGAGATTGGAATTATGGATCGAATAATTTTGAAGATCAAATTAATTTGTGCTTCAATCTAAATGTAAATTTACGGAATTGGCAGAATATCGAAGACTTATTGTATATTATAAATTGCTTTAATTGACAATCTGGAAGGAATAAGGAAAAGAAGAAAAATTTTTGTCGCCGCCTTTGTTGTTGTTGTAAACGGATCATAAAAGAGGAGCGAGAATTTTTTTTTTTTTACGAGGAAAGTGCACCGTTGTAAATAATTTAAGATTGAAATTACGAAGCGGAGGAAGGCGGCGGAGAAATGTGACGGAATGGATTCCTTTTTAATTTTAGACACCCGCTGGAGCAACATATTCACTCGAGTCTTGTTCATTGAGACGACTATGCGCGTATACGTCTTTTTAAAAAGAGGAGAACGATATTGCTGCATTGGTACGAAAATAGAGAATGAAAATTTTGCGATTTGCGTAAGCCACGGAAGAACGACAAAGGCATAAAAATTCATGTGGAACTTATGGTTTGGAATCGAGACAAGATCTTGTTACGAATATCAAAATGTTACAGCGTATTATATCTGAGAGTAACGTTGCATTGCTTCGATTAATTGAAAGATGACGATTGAAATTTCGATCGTTCGAAATGTTGATCGTGAAAAAATTTCAAAATTTAAAAAACTCGTGCTTGAATCTTTAACAGGCTCGCTATAATTCTAAGATTATGAATAGATTTGAATTAATCGCGGATTATAAAGTGATTAAAAAATTTCTTATATTCATATTAAGACGCTGCTCAACTTCTTTGTGCTGCATAGATTTCAAATTTTGATTGTATACGCATATTATATTCAAATCAAACGGTTAGTTTTCTGGGTGCATGATGTAATTATTTTGAATAGAAATCCAGCAGCACATAAAATCGCATAACATTGACCGATTCGTCTGTTAAATGCTAAAACGCGAACCGAACGAGCAATAGAAAACTCATTGCGCGTTAAAACTCAAGACTATATCTTTCCTCGAAAGATTCCATCAATAATGGCAAACGTTGGTCACGATTTGTAATAAAATATTTAATAAGATGATTGTTATTGATAATTGTTGCCGAATAATAAAGGATTGGATTCGCGCAACAATCAACGGGTTATCTGGAGAATGTAGTTTGAGATTTGGAAAAGATCCAAAATATATGCAACTGAATAATATGTTGCAGTAAATCTTGTAAACTATTATTTATTATTGAACAGAGTAATTGTCGAATGTTTAATCTAGCTGTTGAGGGATTCTAAGCTTTGGTAGGCTCTAATTTTCTAATGTTTCCTATGCAATAATTGAATCGCAGTTTATTCAAAGAATATTGTGAAAATTACGCGAATATCACGTGGCGACATAAATCAAACAAGGAAACTGATATGTTTTTGCCAAATGCATAGCTACAATTGCGCCAATATGAATTTCTCACGTTATAACAACCTTGCAAAATTATTCCGTGATATACACATACTAAATGCTCTAATAAACATAAATTTATAAATCTTTCATTTCTAAAATACAAGAATTTTAAATATTATATTTCAACAAATATTAATTTAAATTACGAATTATATTATACAAAATATAACAACTATTAATGCAACAAAATGCAAATGATAATAGTATGATATAAATGAATGTTTGCATTTTCACTTCTGCATAAGAATAGAATATACAATTTGGCGAGAGATTTTCTTTCGACGGGTTATACGTTGGCATGTGTCCAAGTTAAACAAGCAAATAAAGCATTAGAATGGTCGTGTTGGACTGCATATAATGGATTACAATCTGCGATCCGTTATAATTCGTCATCAGTAATAGAATCAGTTTAATTAATTCGAACGAAAATATTCAGTTGCCGCAAACGACGGTAAATTATAACTCGAACTGTTGTAATGCAAATATTGTCGATCCACGTAATAATAATTTTCAATAATCATTGAAATTCATATGAAATTCTTTTCATGATAAGCGATTGATTTTCTTCATATTTTTTGGGCAATTTCATATTATTAATCATTTTCATATCTAAATATTAAATATGTATAATTTTGATATAAAGTTGACATAAACTTATTATATCCTGTTAAAATTACAATTTAAATTATATAAAAAAACATTTAATAATTTTGTCTCAAATCAGTATAAATTCAATATAAATCAATGAAACTACTATAATTAAAAACGATTTTATTAAATTTATTCATTCACTCATGAAATTGCAGAATCACACATGTATCGATGATTTTAAATGATTACCATTATGCATTCCATATATATATATATATTTCTACAACATGTATTTTATTGAGATCCAGTCGATAATAATGCTAACAATGCACTCATTGCACCCACAGAAAGTATATAATTTACAGCTGGTGTAAATGTCTTTAGAATATAAAAAGAACATACAATTACAAGAGCTAAAAATAAGGCATTATTGTAAAAAATTGAAAATGTTGTTGCTTCATAATCAGCTACTTCATTTTTTTTCCATAAAATTCTGAAAATTTAATTATTTTATATTAAATTTTAAATATATATATATATATATATCTAATATTATTCCTTGTATTTAATAATTTTTTACCTTTCATCCTTTTCCTTTTTACTCATTTTTTTATCTTCTGATAACTTTCTACTCATTTCTTTTGTCACTGCATCTTCTCTTTTTACTGCAATCTAAAAAATATATAATTTTTTTATATTTAATTTAATATTTAATTTTTTAAAATAAATCTAAAAATACGAATACTTTTTTTAACATAACTATGTTAATGAAATGTTTTCTTAATAATTTACAATACCTTATGTTTTAACACGAATTTTGTATTTTTGTATGCAAGAGCAAGAGTATATGTACTCGCTAATGTGACTAAAACAAAGGAAATTAAATTGGCATAGATATCGATCAAATGAATTCTCCAAAAAAGCCCTGTAATATAAAAATAGAGGTTATCTTAAAAAAAAATTATAGTTTTTATATAATTATTTTATTTAATAAAATTATATAATATAAACATATATGGAATTCATAATAAAATTCATACATTTATAAAATAATAATATAAATAATATTTATAAACTTGTGAAGAATATATACTCACAGATGGGAATTGCCGAAACAATAAAAGCATTGCCGTAAAATAAAGCTGAAGATTTTGTTGATACATTTCTTGAGAAATCTTGAAGAAGAAGTTCTTCTTCTTTTGTAAATGCTTTTGATTTTCCTGACATTTTTTTAAATTATTTCTTTAAGAGATTTCAATTCGTTCCAAACCAATTGTCACTACTTTCGCGCGAATAGAAAATCTTGCTAATCTTCAGTGCACAGTGCGCATGCTCATAAACAGATTGTGTGGAGATTTGTGACAACGTGTCCATAGAAACGTCATTTTGATAAAAGTATAAACTCTGCCATTCAAAAAAAGTTTCCTTAAATTTTTCGTCACATTTCATTCGATTATAAAACAATCTATTATTTTTCAAAAATATTTCATTTTTTTAATATTTTAATGATATTTAATATTTTGATTAAAATTTATTAAAAAAATATCATTTAGAAATTATTTAGAAAAATATATTTAATCGAAACATTCATCTATTTATAAAATTATTTATTCTAATAATTCCTTATTTTTTTTATTCAATATTGAATGTAATATGAAAAAAATTAATAAAAATAAAATGTTTCATAATTATTAATCTTAAGTATTGTCATTGGTTGTATCTTTTATATAGTATCAAATGATTGGTTCTCATATTAGTAATTTTCTGATTGGCTATTTTCAAGCAAATTCAAGTTCAAATACTACAGCGGATATTATTTAACCGCTCTTTGAATGTTGTACAAAGCATTCTATGTGGATATTTTAAGCTTTCCTGAAAATTATATTTAATTTGAATTTGTGACACGAATATAACAGAAAATATGCATTTGTGTATTGAATAAACAATTTGTTTTAAAATTATTGGGTAATTTAATAAATGAATAATTTATAAACGTGTGACTACGAGGGACTTGATTGTATTATTTTGGTATACGAGGTTTGTTTTAGATAATTATATCGTTCGTATATAAATTTCTGATCACGAACAATGTATTTTAGTTATAGATAAGTAAATAATTCATTATTAAAAATGATTTTTTAATCAATTTAGATTTATGAAATGGTTGATTTAAAGATGCATGAAGAGGAATAAATTTGATAATAATTAAGTAATGCATTATACATTGTGATTTTATATGTTTATATATATATATATATATAGGTTTAGTTAAATTTTTTAAATGCATGCTATATATTTCTATTACTATTATATATATTATTATATTAATTTTTATCTTTAATAATTCTACATAGATGGAGTCACGTTTACCAAAGCCAAAATTTAATTTATCAAAAATAGTAAGTACAGAAAATATAAAAACAAATAATCAAAAAATGTCAAAATACCAAAATGATTTGCCTGATGCAAGTTCTAATCATGTTTCTGATAATTTAAAAAAAACTAAAAGTACAATAAATATCACTGCAAAATGTAGAAATGAAAATAAACCTCCAACAAAACAAATTTTAAGTAGATCAAAAACTATGTCTTCTATTACTACTAGAGCTATGAAAAGACCAGCTAATGCTCCCATCGTACATGGAGAAACTAAAAAACCTTTTACTAAACCTCCTATTAAGCCAAAAGTTGTGCAACGAACTGGCACTACATTAACAAGTAATACTATTAGCAAATCTAGTCAAGATACAACAAATAAAAAAGTACAAAATAATACTACAACTAAGCCTTCAAAGTGGGACTTAAAGGGTCGATTGGCTCATACTAGTGACGAACTGTCTAGTGTACGACAGAAATATAAAGAAACTTTATTAAAATATAATGAAATTCAAGAACAATTGAATACATTAAAGACAAATGAAAATGCATGTAAAATAAAAGCAGAAGAATATGAAAATTTGAATAAGACATTAAATAATGAACTTAATGAATTAAAAATAGAAATAAATAAAATGCAAGAAGAAAAAGAAAATTTAAAAAAATGTTTGAAAGATACAGAAGAATCATTTAAAAATGTTTCAAAAATGTTGGAAGAATTTAAAGAGAAATGTATTTCTCAAGAAACATTACTTTTAAAACATGAATTTTTAATAAAAGATTTAGAAACAAACTTGGAAACTGAAAAAAAAGTTAATGAAAAATTGATTACAGATAAAAATGATTTGCAATCCTTGGTTCATACAATGGACAAAGATCGTAGAATTTTGCATAATGCAATACAAGAAATGAAAGGAAATATAAGAGTATTTTGTAGAGTCCGTCCTAGGACTCCAAATGAATTTGGAAAACCGTATGTATTATATACATAATCAAATATTTAATTTTTAAATACAACACATTTTGTAATAAATATCTATGTTATCCATAGGATGTGTATTATGAACTTTATAGATGAATGCACTATTGAAGTAGGAAAATTTGATGGATCTGATGCAATTAGTTGTAGTGGAAAATTAAGAGGAACCCGACAAGAATTTACTTTTGATAAAGTTTTCCCTTCGACAGCTAGTCAAAAAGATATTTTTGAAGAATTAGCTTTATTAGTTCAATCTGCCCTAGAAGGGTATAATGTTTGTGTATTTGCATATGGTCAGACTGGTTCTGGTAAAACATACACAATGGAAGGTTTACCAGGCATTGAAAAAGAAGGCATGATTCCTAGAACGGTATATATTTTTTGTTTATATACATATATATATAATATATATTTATTTGCAAAAAAAATTTTTTTTTTATTAATTCAGGTACGACATATATTTGAAGAAATGAAAGAATTTCAGTTACTTGGTTGGGAATATCGAATAGAAGCTAGTTTTCTTGAAATTTATAATGAACATATTGTTGATTTACTTGATTCTCAATCGAAAATACATGAAATTAGAATGGCCGATAGTAAGGGACATGATTTGTATGTCAGCAATCTTAAAATAGAGGAAATTCACAGTCCTGAAGAATTACATGAATGTCTTTTAACAGCACAACGTAATAGAGCAGTTGCAGCTACTCAGTCGAATGAACGGTATATTTACATTTTTTTATGCCTTATAAATAAAAAAAATAGATTTATAATTGTAAAATTTAATATTTTAGATCATCAAGATCGCATTCAGTAGCAAGAATAAAACTAATTGGAATGCATAAGACAAAAGAAGAGGTTTCAATAGGAAACCTGAATTTGGTTGATTTAGCAGGATCTGAAAGATTAAAAGGTGAAGAATCAGTACGATTAGCAGAAACGAAAAATATAAATAAATCACTGGCAAATTTGGGCAATGTTATTCTTGCTCTCTTGAAAAAGCAGGAACACATTCCATACAGAAATTCCAAACTCACTCATTTATTAATGCCATCTTTAGGTGGTAATTCAAAAACTTTAATGCTATTGAATATATCTCCTTTAGACGAATGTTATAATGAAACATTGAATTCATTAAGATTTGCTAGCAATGTAAACAGTTGTAAAACAGGTAACGCAAAAAGAACGCGAACAGTTTTACAAAATACTACATAAAATTTCTCAGGACATAATATTTTTTGTAATTAAAAATAACAAAATGATAGCTTTCAGCTATATTTAAACTATTTTAAATATTCGAAGGTTAGCCTTTGTATCATCTCATTCTTTTTTTTAAAATTATACCAAAAAACTGTAAATAATTTCATATAAAATATAATCTTATAATAATGTTACATACATATATTCTGTTTTTTTTTTCTTTTTAATTAAGTTCAATCCTTTTAATTTTAATTCTTAAATTTTATATAATAAAGAAGATAATTTTCGAAATATTGTGTATTTTTATACACTTTTTATACAAAACAATTTTTAAAAATATTAATTATACTATATATATTAAAACTCTAAATAAATAATTCGTTCACTATTTGGAAATATATAAGTGTTATACTGTGCTAAAAAAAATATAAAATTAAATTACAATAAAGAGTGTATTTTTATAATATATTAAAATTTTAAAAGTTTAAAAATAAAAACGTTCAAATACAAATAAAAATATTTTATTTAAAATGAGGCACGTAAAATAATTATTTATGTATTGATTTTATATGGATCATGTAACTTGTAGATACTTCTAATAGGCATGGATAAAAAAATTGAGATTTCTTTAAATTTGCTAAAAAATTTTGAAATTCTGGCGAAGAGCTAACAATGCCTCTTTGTATAACTTTTTTTGATAAAGAATTATCATTTCTTTTATAATTATTTGAATTTTTCAAATTATTTTTTATAAACTGTGAATCTTGACATATGAAATGCTTCATTGATAAATAACTTTTTAATTGTTGATTATTGAAGTATTGATTAAGTTCACAATTGTTGAAAAGCAATAATGTATAAGTATTAAAAATAATTTCATTTTGAACAATATTTATATCTTTATCCAATATATTTTTATTTTTTTCCAAGTTCAATTTATCTTCTTCACCATCATAACTTAAATTTGTTTGAAAATAGAATGTATTGTGATTGATTTCAGAATTTGTCATAAATTTTCTTCTAAATTCTAACATAGCAGAATCATTTTTATTAAAAACATTTTTTTTACGATTTTTTAAGAAAGTTTCAAAATAAGGAATAATTGAACTGCTGCACATCCTGTAAAAATCAATTTAAGTTAAAAATGTAATTAATAATATTTTATTATATTGTTATTCATTATTATTCATATTTTATATTAAGAAAATTTTACTTACATATTTTTCCATTTATTTATCACTTTTTTTAAATAACCATGTGAATATATGAAAAATAATATAAAAGATATAGATACAAAGATATAAATATATTGAAGCATAATTTTTAATATTAATATCATGTTACAAAAATTATAATTTGTTTTTGTAATATTTACGATATCTTCTATATTCTTTGCTTTTATTGAAGTATTATATGTAATTCCAAGATCTGAATTTTACAAATAAATTAACGTTAAATTAAAATCATTATTTTATTTATCAATAATAAATTTATTTTAACAAACATTTACCTTGTTCTATTATAATTGAATTATACATATTACTTGTACACAGAGCTATCCATAATCCAAATCCCCAGAGAAACAAGATATTCCACGATATATAATGCGATCTTTTTTGCTTAAATAAGTTTAAGTAACGACAATACATTGCACAAATAATAGTACTTAAGAATATCTACTTTTTTTGTTAGTAGATGATTGTCTACTACCATTATTTTGCATTGTGTGCGTTACTTTTGTCTAATTCGTTGTTACTCGAAAGAGTGTTGTAATATCAGCTCAAAATAAATTTTGTAAATGTACATCAATAATAAATTGAGAGATTACATAAATAAAAAAGAAGACAATCTATGCAAAATGGATGCTCAACAATTTCATATCTATCATATACTATATCATTTATTTAAATGTCAGTAATTTAGAATCTACATAAAAGAAATAAATTATTATGACAATTAATTCTAAAATATTAATTAAAATTTGGGATGCACAATATTTCAACGCGACTTGATACCCTCAATAGACAGCTCATCATTATTTCTGAACTACAAAAAATGGAAGAAGAATATAATGTGTATCCTTATACAACATGTAAAAAAGTAAATAATAATTGTTATAAAAATAAATAATAATTATAAGAAATATAATAATTATAAAAAAAATTATATATGTGTGTAGTGTGTTATACCCAATTATTTTGGCAAATGTTGTTATTGTGCTCAAAAAATTTTATATTTGAAAGAGAAATTAAACATGCCCAATTGTGCTGATGAATGTACATATGACACTCGTAAAAAAAGGATAGTATGCACTCCAGAAAAATGTAAAACACGCAGAAAGTTACATTCTTATAAAAATACTTCATCAATTGAAGGTATATTAATGTCATTGATCTAAAAAAAACTTATGGAATATTATTAATATTAATTAATATGAAATTATTTATTAGATTTTAAAGATGAAGTTAAAAATGATAAAATAAAAAATACTAAAGAATTGAAAGAATTAGAAAAACCTAACTTGATTGAATTAGAGAAACCTAAGTTGATTGAGTTACAGAAACCTAAGTTGATTGAGCTAGAGAAAGTTAATGAGTTAATTGAATTAGAGAAAGAAAACAAATCTGATCAAATAACTCCACAGTTTTATAAAGTACAAGATCAAATAATTGATACATTTGAAGAAAAAGGCGAACAAACTATTCCTACAAAAGATAATAATTTTATAACTTTAAACACAAACATACAAACTGAAAATAAAATAATAGAACAGGAAGAAATAAATGAAAATTTTATAAAAGAGTTAGGAGAAATTAATAATATTGTAGATGTTTGTGCAAAAGACAAAAAAATTTTTGAGAAAATTCAAAAGGTTTTATTTATAATAATTATTTTTTGTTTGTATTTAAATTTATATAAATGTAATTTGTAGGATCTCTTAAGTGAAAAAAAACAGACTGAAGAACTTGAAAAAAAATTAAAATCTCTAACTTGCAATATAAATTGTTTAAAAGAGGATAGCGAACAAAGAGCAGCTTGCTTAAAAGATGCATTACAAACAGCTGAAGAACAACGAAAAATTGCAATGGATTTAGTGAAGCAATCAAAAATTCAAATAGATACAAATAAAGAAGATAAAACTGAATTATTAAATGAAATCACAAAATTACAAGTATGTACTACAGATCGTACTTATATATTTAAAATATAGATATAAATATATTTATATTAAAATATAAATATAAAATATGAGACACATGTATTAAAAATTAAAAAATTTGTTCTTAATATATTTTGATTATAAATATATATATATAATTATTATGTACTTTTTTTAAAAATTTTTATTTATAAATAAAAATTCGCATACTTTTTATTCAGATTTATCAAATATCAAAATTTTTTGATAGCAAAAAAAAATTTGATAAAAAAAAATAAATTTTTGATAACATTATTTTTCAATATAATGCTTTAAAATTATATATTTTTTTTTTTAATTTTTTCATTGTATTGGCAATATTTTAATTAAAATTTTACCACTATGCCTCGAATCATATATTAGTATATATATTTTACGAAATCATCGTCGTTGAGATATATTGTACAATAAAATATTTATATTTTTTACATTAAAGATGAAATTTTGAAAGAGAAATGATCAAAATATATTTTGATATCTTATATCTTTTATCAAAAATAAATATAAACAAAGAGAATAAATAATGAAAGAAGAACAGAAATTGTAAAAATATTAAAATCAACATCATTTTTAGAGTGCTGCAAATAAAACACTTAAAAAAAAGACAAAAAAATATATATAATAGTAAAAGAAGGATAAAAATGAAAAATAAGATAATTAACATCGTTTCTTCAAAAACAAGATAAGATAAAGTGTCAAATAATATATTTTTAAAAATATTTAAAAAATGACAAAAAGATGGCGTTGATTGTCAATTTTATCCTTTTGTTTTTTTTTATTTTATTTTTATCTTTTTCTCACTCTTTACTCTTTTCTATATTCTATACTTTTAAAAAAAAATTATTTTTTAAACTATAGCTTTAATATTTAATTAATTTTTCTTTTAAAATAACAATATAAAAAATATTAAAAAATATATAATATATATTTATATATATGAAATGAAGTTATTTATTAATTATAAAATAATTATTTTTTTACAGCAACAGATTGTTGAAATTACACATAAAAATAATGATTTATTGCAAGAACGGGATATTTTAATGAACAAATTGAAATCTTTCTCAGAAGATGAATCTAAAAAGTAATTTTAGAATATTTAATATAATTTTAAATATAAATTCTTATTTCTTTAAAATATAATCTAAGAATCACTTTAGATACTAAATGCATGCTTCAATCATACAAGGTGTGAGGAGGTTGAAAAAGAAGTGAACAAGATGAAATATGCAGTTAAAGAAAAGGAAAATGCTTTAAATAAAGAGAGAGCAGAATTCATAAATATGATTTTAGAACTCACAAATATAATAAATATACAGAAAAGAAGAATATGTAAAGTAACTGGTATATGTAATGAACAACAAAATAACATACATGAGAAAGATAAAAAATTATCTCAAAAAGTAAATATAAAGAAAAAATCAAATATAAAAAATTAAATTATGATTTTATACTGATTTAATTTATATTAATAGGATATTGAGTTATCAGAGATAAAAACAGTATTGCATTCAAATAATTCTACTTTTAAAGAAATGGAAGACAAAATAAAACATTTGCAACATTGTTTATGTGAAGAAAGACAGACTTGTGATTGTTTAAAACAGGAATTAGAAACTAACAAAGAAAATCATTTGTCTGAATTGAGAATAAAAGAAAAAATGATAGATGATCAAAATAAAACAATATCAAAACAGAAAAAGGTAATATATTTATGACAAAAATTAATTTAATAAATTTAATTATATAGTTTAGTTAAAATAGTTAAAATACTAATATTATATTAAAAAAATATTTATTGCATTTAGTTATTACATGATAGTGAAGAGATAGTTCAACAAGTTGCTTCTGAATTTAATGAACTTAAAGATGAATTACATAAAGAAAAACAAAAGAATGAATCTTTGCAAATAACATTAGATCAGAATGATAGTAAATTAAGCATTTTATCACAATGTGAACAATGTAAAAAACTTACAGCAGAAATAGATTATTTGAAAAATGAAAAACAGAAAGCAATTGCTATTGCAAAATGTGCTTATCAAAAGTTACATCAAAATATAAAAGAATATCAAAAAAAGCTTATTTGTGAAAGAAAACAGCACAAATATATGCAATTGATTATTGAAAGAAAACAACATGAAATAGGATGTTTAAGAAATCAAATGTGTCACAATAATATGAAAATTATTTAAAAATAAATAGTTAATGTAGTATACACACAATTAAATTTAGTTGTAATTATGTTGAAAGTTTTTAAAATATTCAATATAATTATATATAAATAAATACTTGATAGTATTTATGTATTTCATAATATATATATTCTATTTTTGACAACTTACATATAAAGGATAAATATGGACTTACATTGTAAATATGTACAATATACGATGTTGAATCAACATTGTTAATTATCTAAATTTTAATTTAGATATTCTTACTCTAATCTCAAGGAACAATAATTTGATATTTCTCTTATACCAAGCAATATTATAATTTAAATGCATACGCCAATTTTTATCTAAAAATTCTTTATAAAATATTGACATATCATCTGCCGTAATCGATGTTTTTCCTTGAGCTTTAAGAGTTTCTTGAAATTGTCTGCGTTCCTATGACATAATTAATAAATAAAATTTGAAATATTTTCAATTAACATTTCATATTAATTATATAAAATAATGTTATACTTCAATGAAATTGTTATTGTGTTCCCGCCAAAAATTTTGATTCCAAATTTGCGTATCTTCCCTGGCTTCTCTAAATTTCTTTTCTAATTTACTTTCATTTTCAGATTTTGCAAAAATAATAGGTCTTAAATTTGAAACTGGATCGGGCGGTCCAATTAAATCAATTTGTGCAGGACTTTTTAGGTTAGAAGATATCTTCTAAATAAAATAAAAATAACGAATGAGAATAAGATATATAATAATTTAAATGTCACATTGAATAAAAAACTTACAACGCTAAACAATCGGAATATATTATTACTATATTTTAATTTGATATAATTATATATTCGAATCATTTTAGAAGTTCATATATGTTTTACGAGGTTATATTTATGTCGATCATGCATTTCGTTTTCTCTCAATGATCTTACTCTTACATAATCTTACCTTAAAATCATATTAATATAATGCGTGAAAAAATCGAGAAATACAAATATAATCCTTATTCAACAATCTTTTATTTATATATAACATAAGCTCTTTATAAATATAATCTAATAAATCTAATAATTCCATTATTTCATTTCTATATAAATAAGATTCAATTATTTCTGTAATAGATTTGAATATAAATCATTTATATTTTAATGATTTTTTTAAAATACTGGCTTTTTGTTCGCAAAAAATAGTTTTTTTAACATGATTAATTTGACAATAAATCATTCAGAAAAAAAAATTCAGAAATTCATCAAAGATCTATTGAATATTAAGAATATACTTTTGTGCTCGTCTTATTAGAATGAAATCATTTTTTTCTATTCTATTTTAAATTATAAAAAATTCGATAAAAATTTAAGATGATAAATTTAGAAAAAATGAAAAGATTGCCTGTATTTAAGACTAGAGTTTTTTTGTAAAAACATTCCTTTTGTATATATAAATACTAAGCAGAACTGAAAAAAAGGCTAATGAATGGTCACCATCACATAATGTTACATAATCTTATTTAAAAGTGTATAACACTATTAGTATTCCTACTTTTACAGTTATAATAAATCTACTCAGAAATAACCAATCAGATCTGCAAATGTCTCTTTTCCAGCTCTGCATAGAAATTGTTTCAAAAAACACATCCAAGTATGCATGTTTCTTAGAATATTGACAACACCATAAATCGTATTAATAATCACAGCATACGTAAGTATATTTTCTGAAACAATGATGTTCTTAATATCGATATTTAATTATTTGTATTATTTTTAAAAATGTAATTCAATGTTTAATTTAAAGACTTCAAATATGCTGCGTCGAACAAATCGAGTTCGTTTGTTAAATAATTAGCCTTATTTCGTAAAACTTTAGCACTACTAGTTGCTTCTTCCAATATTCGTATTGTACTTGCAATATTTTTTAATTCAGTATCCATTTCAGATGTTGCTTCGTCTACTAAATGACACAAACGTGCAAAAGTGCTTGACAATTCTCTGAAATTACATATATATATAACATTATGTAAAATTATATAAAATTAAAATACATTATATAAAATTGATTTTTTAAAAACAAAGAAAGAAAAAAAGTCATATTTATGTAACTTAAAATAAAATTAAAACTCACTGTTGTACTTGATGACTGCAATTTGCAGACGTGAGATCTACTATTAGTTTCAATTTTTTCGTAGCATGTGATACATATTGACGTTTAAATTCACGTTCTTTTGCTTTATTAGTCCATGTTAATCGTTCGTAAAGATATAAAGCACCATATATAGCACCGGTTACAGCAACAAGTCTCCAACCAATTGTTTTCAACATCTTAAAAAAAATAATTTTGAGAAAAATAAAATTATTCTATTTCATAATATAATTATTTAAACTTATGTAATATACTTACAAATCCAGCGACTATAAGTCCTCCCATAGTACCCTGAGATGTTATAGATGCTATTGCAATTTTAGTAGCTAATGACCAATCATCTGATCTTGATTGATGATAGTTTGAAGTATTTGTCATAAATTTTATAGAATCAATACTTTCTGCAGGAGACATAATTGCAGGTGGCATCTTGAAATAAAATATATTAATTGAATATATATTAATTATTTTATTATTATAAAAATATTTTATAATATAAATTATTATATAAATAAGTTATTATATAAATAATCTTACTTCTTGTGAATAATTAGCAATTGGTAACTTTTTTCCTTGTCTTCCCGCAAATCTATTAATTATGGCTGTAATTCCCCAAGAGAATCGAAACTCTAAATCTTCGTGGAAATCTGCGCATAAATTGTCACAATTTAATCTGTACAAAATTTCAAATGGTTCTCGTCTTGGTAAAATGTTTAATGACATTTGTCTTTTATTATCTGGCAATAAACTTGCCATTCGTTCTGTCATTTCTCTTTGAGAAGTTTCAATATTCAATGCCAATGCAGTGCTGAGTCTTGCTCTTAAATTGGAACCTATAGATTTATAAAATTAAATTTTTCATTGAATAAAAATATAATGAATAAATAAATTTAAAAATAATAATACCTAAACCATTTTCTACATGAGTATGAAGTTCTCGTTTATATACATTTAAGACTACTGGATCAGTATGAAATGGAACACTGAATTCATCAACAAGTACTGCTAATCTACGAATTTCTTCACTAAGAGCTTTAGATACTCTTTGTTCGACATCTTCTACTATATGATGAATTTTGTCCTTCATTTCTTGAGTCAATAACATTAATTGTTGTTCCGTATAATTTAATTTATCATGAACATTTTTTTTAATATGTAATTGTTCATTTTTCATTTTTTGTGCTCTTTCTAATATTTCATCGAGAGTTTGTCGTATTTCTCTAAAAAGAATTATTTTATATATTTTATTTTATTTTATATATTAAAAAGCAATATTTAAACATTATTAAATAAATATTAAACTATTTACGTAGCGATATGTTTTCCACGTTGAGAATGCTGTTCAAATTTCGTTTTTACAGCAGATTTTGAAATACATTCTTCAAATTTTCGTTCAAAATCTTGAAATTCGAAATAACGATTTTGAAATCCTTCTGCTAGTGCACCATCTACAAAATAATTTGTATTATATAGTAAAAATAAATAGTTCAAATTATAATTATTTATAAATAAAGAATTGAATCTTACTATGAGCAGGTTGGCCACGTTGTTCTTGCATACGAGCTTGAAGAGTTTCTTTTGCCGATATAAAAAAAACTCTTTCTTCGGCATCTTTAGGAGTATAAACTTTTAATTCTTTCGACAAGAAATCGACGGCCCGTTCTTGATGTTGTGCCCTTACCTACACAAAAGTAAATTGTAAATAAACACAAGTTACATAATAAATTGTAAAATATTGTAATTGTAAAAAGCAAGAAGCGTGTATTGAAATTTCTATTAAAAATATTATAAGCATAGAATTTGCATCATTAGAAAGAAAAAATTATATTAAAAAAATCAATTAATTTAATTTTAATAAATATTTTTCATGCTATGAAATTAATGCATATCATTTACATTACATAGTGCATCATTAATTTTATTTATACATTGAAATAATCTTGCATTAAACAAATATAAATTTTATAGATAATAAGATTTAAAAAATAGAATAACTTACTTCTTTTTGCTCTTTGACCAGCTAAGAGATAAAGCGGATATTATGTAAATTAAAATAAAGCTGCCACTGCATAATGCTATTTATTATTAATGAATTTCTGCTTCATATATACATACATTATATATATATATATTTTTAAATACTAATATTAAATAAATTATATAATCACAGACAATTAGAGACAATAATCTTAATATGTAGTACCAGCTTTAATAAAAAAAATTCAGAATTTCTCTATTCAGAATTATACGAATTTATTTTGATAACAAATATTTAAATATATCTTTTTGATTATTTATATTTTATCTTATTATTAAAATTATATTTATATAATATTATCTATATAATAATTAAAAATATGTACCTGTTCAAAAAATTCTGGTTCTGAAGCAGATGCATCCCATCTATTATTTAAGATGAAAATATTTGGTTTAGATAATTTTGTAGACACTTTATGGAAGAAGTTTTTTTCCTATAATTATAAATACATTCAATTTAAAAATATAAAATATCATAAAAATGAATATTTCAATTACTTACAGTCACCATTAAAGTAGATTCTGCATTAGCCACTAAGACAAAAACATCTGCATCCAAACAATGTTTATCAATCCATTCATCCAGATTTGGTGTTACATCTACTCCAGGGCTATCAACAAATACTACATCATCTCTTAATAATAAACATTTTTCTTTTGGCCAAAATATTCTTACTAAATGACTTTCACATAACTTTTCTTTACAGAGAGCATGGCCTAATTGACCAACTGATTGAACAGGTTGTTTTTCAGTAGATCCTTCTGTGATTAAATAAGATTCACCATTATCTGAACCTTCAACTTGTAAGAAACAATTTGTAGTATGTCCTATGCCACTTGGTAAGATTTTATCACGTAACATTGCATTAATAACTGTACTTTTTCCATTACTAGTTCTATAATATTTATAAAAATATATTAATATATTTAAAATACATATTTTAACTATCTTTCATATTGTTTAATATAATCATATACCTTCCAAAAAATGCAACTTTCATGTGATCCCTCTTAAGTACATCTCTAATTGCATGGACCTTAGCAACATAGCTTTCAATTCTTTGTGCTTCTTCTACAGTAACAATATTACGTTCAGTTTGCAATGCTAATAAATAAAAATAATTTTAATAAAAAAGTTTAATATTATATATAACTTAATTTTTATATTATAAATTTAAAGTTAATTACTTACATTTCATAAATTCTATAGTGTCTTGCACATAATCTTCTATTTCCATAAATATGTCATTGATCTTTTTCTTGGCTTTAACAAAAATCTGAAGAGGAGAATTATCAATTCGTATATCTGTTGATCTTAAGTGGCTGTCTCCTCCAATCATGGAAATTGTACGATTGATGTAGGCAGCCATAATTCTTTATTTAACTTATTTTATATATATTTTATATATATATATATATATATAATGTTTGGCAAAATAAGAAAAAGTACAGTGCAATATTTTAGGCAGGACGATGATGTAGTGCACAGCATGCAGGATCAACTGAAATCATAAAAAAAGCAATAATTATAAATATCTTCTAA